AAGACACATCCCTTGGGGCGATCCAGCCCAAAAACGTTGACCTGGAACCTACCCCTGAGGACCCAGTCAGACAAATCCAAACTGAGGAACATTGTCCTGAACAACCCGGCCTGGACTCTTGAGAAGTTTCAATGCCATATGTCACAATGTCTGTGTCACAATTCAATGTCACCAAAAAAAATGCTAAAGATTAAAAAAAATAAAACATGACAACTACCTGAAACATATCAAGATCCTTAACTGAATCCTCGATTGGAAAAAAATGAATCCAGCTAAAACGGCAACAGTGAGCTAATTAAAACACCAAACCAAACTCACTGCCGTCAAGTCGACTGCGACTCACAGCGACCCCTCCTTGGATCTGAGGCAGTACCTCTATGGAAGTAGATTGCCTAGTCTTCCTTCCAAGGAGTGGCTGGTGGCTTTGAACCACCAGCCTTCTGGTTAGCAGTCAAATGCCTTAGGCACTACAAGTGAGCTAACTGAAGAGATCTAAATAGAGACTGTATGTTAATAATGGTTACTGTATCATGCTAAATTTCCTGGGTGAGATAATCGTATTGCAGTTACACAGAAGAATGCCCTTTTTAAGAAGGGGAGAAGTGATATGATGATGTCTACAACTCTCCAATGGTTCAGTGAAACGTGCATGCATGCACACATGGCGTGAGGGAGAGAGTGAGAGAGAGGACCTGCACGTGCATGCACACACGCGGGAAAGCATGACAGAGTCAGAGAGTAAGGCAGACATATCAACAGGTTAACAAACGGTGACTCTAGGTAAACACAGGCATCTGTGGTGCTATTTTTCCAAATGTTCCATAGATTTGAAACTTTTCAAGCTAAAAAGCTGAGGAAAATGGAAATATGGAAGAGTAAAAACTACAAGGGCTTCCATAAGGTTGAAAAAAATAAAAGACCATACTGTATCTTGTAATTGAGGCCATACATGCATTTTCTGCAATGTCTTCTTAGCCTGCTAGCAGGTCTCCAATACCACATCTGCCAGCAATATATGTACAACTACTGATGGTTACACAGCAGGACTTGTCTGCTCCACAGGCAACGCCGCGGGGTGACACAGTATATTCACAAGCAAGCAGACTTTTCAAACTGACTACCTCCGCAAAGCTTCCTGCTTCCTGCCAAGACCAGGGCAGCACACACAGTGCTACTTTATTTATAAGTGTGTAAAGTGGATATCCCAAGTGAATCTTACAGACCATCGGAATCTTTGCTACCGGCAGTCACTGAATTTCCTTAAGCGATGACAGCCAGTTGCCAGAGGCTGACTGGCTGTTTGGACTTTAACCTGAGACAGTGCTTAACTTGCTGAGCCAATGTAATGGCTGTAAACAACTACTGTGGAAAACAAACTCTGAGTAAACAGAACAAAATGATCCACTGATAGACCTTCCGCGGAAGGAGGGTGCACATGCACACAAAAGCCCAGGCAAACAGGACCTACTAACTGCCACACAATGAACTCCTGAGAACCCCATCAACAGAATTGCTCAAATTCAATGTGTTACCATTCCTCAAGTTCTGAGAAACTAAATGCAGTGAACAGTAAAAGCTGTAGCTAGTAAACAAGTATCTGCTTCCCAGGCCTGCTACTCAACTGTTACAGAATCAATGACCTGACGCGTCCAAGCCTCAGTATCCCCAGCTTTAAAATGAAGGAAATCCTGACACCACCTCAAAAAGAGGGTAGCAAATAAAACAGGAAAAGCAAAGCTTTCCAGACATATAAATGATCCCAAAGAATTAGACAAGTTAGCCAAACACCTCTCCCTTATATATACAATACTTACTTTTGCTCCAATATTAGTACCTTTTCACCTGAGGAAAAAATGGTCAAAAAGCTATTTTTCAATTCTGTCATTCAATCTAACAAAGTATATACTTTAAAAAGTTTCTGGTGGGGGTACGAGGCAGGGGGAAAGGGGAAGTTTTTGTTTGCAGGGCATTAAGTTTATGCTAATGGTAAGGGAATATTTTGGAAAAGGATAGCAGTAACAGTGGCACAACATGAAAAACGTCATCAATGTCCCTGAGCTGTTATGTTGGTGAATGTCTTGGTATGTTTTCACCTCAATAAAAGTTTAAAAAAAAAAGTCTCTGGTGTACGTTTTTACATGTTGTTCACTCCAAAGCCCAAACCAAACTCAGTGCCAGAGTTGACGCCCACTCACAATGCCCCTAGAGGACGGAGTGGAACTGCCCCATAGGGTTTCTAAGGCTGTCAATCTTCACAGAAGCAAAGCCCAAACCACACCCACTGCCGTGGAGTTTATTCTGACCCACAGCGCCCCTAGAGGACAGACTGGAACTGCCCACAGGGTCTCCAAGGTTGTAGTTCTTTTTCAGACTGCTTCATCCTTCTCCCACAGAGCAGCTGGTGGGTTCAAACCACTGATCTTTCAGTTAGCAACCCAATGGTTTAAGTACAGCACCACCAGAGTTCCTTACTGTTAACTCAGTGATTGCAAAAAAAGTAGACTAAACTCAGAGGAGCTTTCCGTTCCTGCTCCTTATTCTCAATTCAGGAATACGTAACACAGACACAATATGCCTGCGCGCAGGGACTCATCATCCTGCTGAAGATCCCAGGGATCAGACGCTTCCAGACCTTCCCATTGCACATTCCTTCCACTGCAGACCATAAGGCCTCCCTCCAAAAAACTAATTTTCCCATCAACTGCTCCCCACAAAAATTCTCCACTGGTTTCAAAAATTCTCGACTGAGTCCCTTGGAGAAGTGGACAGGCTGTTAAACAAATACAAACCCTTGATTCAAGCCATTTAACTTAGGAAAATCTGAAAAGCTACACGCCCAGTATCTAGGAAGCTAGCTCATTCATTTGTACCTATTAAACTAATGATGTACTGATGTGTTACTTCATTCAACAAGTATTTGCTGAATGCCTACTGTGTGCCCGATGTAGCACCAAGCACAAAGCAAACACTGTCCCTGCCCTCACGGAGCCTACACTCTTGAGATAGACAAGGAAGGCACGAAACAATGAAACATGCATCTATTATGACAACTTATATTCGTTTAAGTGAAAAACAAACCAGGATGCTGAGGAAGACAAGAGGAACTTATTTTGATCGACTGAGGAACAACTTTTAATGGGGCCACTCAAGCTGCACCATCAAAATAGACAAAAAGAACACCAGGAAGGGGGTTGTTATGGATTGAACTGTGTCTCCCAAAATATGTGTCAACCTGGCTGGGCCTTAATTCTCAGTATTAAATAATTATCCTCCATTTTGATCTAATTATCCTGATGTGTTGTAAATCCTCACCTCTATGGTGTTAGCGAAGCAGGATTGGAAGTAGTTATGTTAATGAGGCAGGGTGCAACCTACAGGATTAGACTGTATGCTGAGTCAATCTCTTCTAAAACGTACTGTTGTTAGATGCCATTGAGTTGGTTCAGACTCACAGTGACCCTAAAAGGGATTAAACACAGCAGCAGAGATCAGAGGAAACTACTATCACCAAGAGAGAAGAGCCAGGAGGGCATGTCCTTCAGATCCAGGGTTCCTGGGCTGTGAACCTCCCAGACCCGGGGAAAGACCGACTTCAAGATATGGAGCTCTCCAAGGGGCACCAAGCCCAGAGATGTTAAGAGACAAGGCCTTTCCCCTAGAGCTGGTACCCTGAATTTGGACTTCAGGCCTCCTAAACAGTGACAGAATAAACCTGTTTGTTAAAGCCAGCCACATGGGGTATTTCTGTTACAGCAGCACTAGAGAACTAAGACGGGGAAGAACATACCAGGAAGAGGAATCAGTAATGCAAATATCCTGAGGTAGGAAAGGGCTTGGAAGGTTACAGAAACTACCTGCCAGTGGGGCCGGGGTACAGTATGTGTACTGGGGGGAGACAGTGGCAAGAGATAAGGATAGTGAGTAGCCACGTTAGCGGGTTATACAGGATCTTGCACTCCTAGTAAGGAATTTGGGTTTCCTCTAAGTGCAAAAGAAACAAAAGGATGGGCTTTTCAAAAGGGATGGCATGACCTAATTAATACTTTAAAATCGCTCTTCCAAATGGACTGAAGTGGACAGGAATGGAAGCCAAAGGCTACTGTTTAGTCCACGCTAGAAACGATGGACTTTGAGTTAATTTGAGTTAACTTTGAGTTAATAGTGGACATGGTGAAAAATAAGTGCTTGCAAAATATCTGAACGTGGAGCTGGTAGGACTGCGTGGACTGGGTTTAGGGGTGAGGGGAAGGGGACTAGACTTTTGGTCTGAGCAACGGAACGGGTGATGGTCCCAACAAGGGTGATATGAACAGGCTGGGATGGGTACCCCAGGGAAGGGAGCAGAAGTTCTGCTTTTAAACTGACAGGTGTGAGTTGCCTTTCAGGCATCCCAGTGGAAGTATCAAGTAAGTGGTGTAGAAAAGGAACCTACAGCTCAAAAGAAAACAGAATTAAAAATATAACTGTGGGAATACTCAGCATACAGGTAAGATGACCAAAGGAAAGCGTGTGAAAGGATACGTCCAGGGGCTGAGCCCTCTGATACATCAACACTTAGAAGGTGGAGCCAGGAAAGGAGACTGAGAAGTAGTCCTTGAAGAAGAAAGAAATCAGGGGTTTCCCAAAAGGCCAAGAAAGTATCTAAGAAACTCCGATAGCACCTCTCTCAAATTAGGAAGGGGCAGGAGGGCCCTAGCCCTACACACAGTTCCATCCCAGCAATTCTCCGTCCCCGTCTCCACTTACAGGGGAAACCGCCCGGGCTTCCCACCGTGCTCTGCCCAGCGTCCCAGGCACCAAGATTCAGAGGGTCAGCACGCAAATCCCTTCTTCCCGCCCACTCGGATCCCGCGGGCCCTTCCTGATTGGCCATCCCCCTCGTCCACAAGCCCGTATGACCCTCGGCCCTATCCCCGACGTCTCTGGGCCCCCAGCGGTTTAACCAGCCCCTAGCTATCAGCTTCGGCCCCAGAGCCCCGGACGCGTCCCGGGTAGCTTACACTTCCATATCTTCCCCGCCTCGTCGCTTCCAACTGCCAGCACACAGGAAGCCTCAACAAGCGCGGCCGACGCTCCCTCCGTTCGCGAGGAGCAGCCTAAGACGCCGGTGCCGCGTCGCGGTGCACGCCGGGATCGCCGCGCTGCCCGCTGGGAGTCTGGAGGACCCGCGGGGCCTCCGAGACGCTAAGCGCCCTTTGCCCTTCGCCCTAGGGGACCCCGTATTCTTCGCCCAGGTCCCTTGTTTTCGTGGTCTAGGTTTTATCAAAGTACTGATCCAAACTAAAGATGCAATAATACTAAAGACGGGTTAATAGTCCTTTGTGGCTTTAAAATCCCACCCTTCGGAGAGTGGGGATGGGGAGGAGGCTTCTGGGGGCTGGGAATGTTCTATTCCTCCACGTGCCGAGTACGCGAGTGTGTTCAGTTCTTGAAATTGCAGTGAGCTGTACACGTTTGCACACTTTCCTGTACGTGTGTTATAATTCACTAAGTTTTTTTTTTAAGTTAAAAAAAAATCTAGCCCCTCTCCTCCCTGTTGCTGTTCTTTCTTGAGAATTAATTGGCAAAATAAATAAATATATATGAAGACACTCAAAGACAAGCACAATTTCTGCCCCTGGGGACTTTCTGGGATCGTCCAAAGGGACGATCGTCCAAAGTATCAGATGCTTGAAAAAAGATGGATTCGTAGTGCCGTTTTTGCTGGGAAATGGCCTAAATGGCCAAAGATGGGAAATTGATGACAGAGCCATAGGGTATACGCAGCCATGAAAAATCTTGTAAAATATCTGGGGTGCTAGGAAAATGCTCAAAACAGGATTTGAAAACGCTTGGGAGTGTGTGATCCTAGTATCTGCAGAAAAGTAACTAACCAACAGTTACCGTCCAGGTGATTTGGACTCATGGCGACCCCTGTGTGTCAGAGTTTTCAGTGTCTCATTTTTCTCGAGTAGACTACCAGGACTTTATTCAGAGGCGCATAGGAAAAAGTAGCCAAGGGTGTGGGAGGCACAGCTACCTGATTTCCCACATTTTATGACTTTTTTTTTGTAAGGGGGGGGGTGTTAGGGTGGGTACCTGTTATCATATGAAATGTTTCTTAAAGACTAGAAGGAAATAGGTAAAATATTAACAATGGCAGGAGCCTTTGGGTGATGAGTCAGTTGCTGATTGTTTTCCTGCTTTTTTATACTTTCGTGTTTTTTGGTTCTCCTTTACCAAGTTCCTTCTCTTTCAAAGACACTTTGTCATTCTACGGAATTACCAGTCAATGGTGCAGGCTTTTCTGTCAGACAGCCAGTGTCCCCGTTTACCCTCAGCACTCTCCTAAAGGCTGCTTGACCTTGGGGACGTGACCTCCCCCAGCCTCGTTTCTCTCATCTGTAAATCAGATCTTTGACAACTTCAATCTTTTCTCCATTTATCATGATGCTGCTTATTGGTCCCATTGTGAGGATTTCTGTTTTCTTTACATTCAGGTGTAATCCATACTGCAGACCGTAGTCTTCAATCTTCATCAGTAAGTGTTTGAAGTCATCCTCATTTTCAGCGAGCAAAGTTGTGTCGTCTGCATAACGTAGGTTGTTAATGAGTCTTCCTCCAATCCTGATGCCATTCTTCTTCACATAGTCCAGCTCGTCAGATTATTTGGTCAGCATACAGATTGAATAAGTATGGGGAAAGGATACAACCTCGACACACTCCCTTCTTGATTTTAAACTATGCAGTGTTCCCTTGTTCTGTTTGAACGACAGCCTCCTGTTCTATGTACAGGTTCTTCATGATCATGAGCACAATTAAGTGTTCTGGAATGCCCATTCTTCTCAATGTTATCCATAATTTGTTATGATCTACACAATCGAATGCTTTTGCATAGTCAGTAAAACACAAGTAAACATCTTTCTGGTATTCTTTGCTTTGAACCAAGATCCATCTGACATCAGCAATGATATCCCTCATTCCATGTGTTCTTCTGAATCCAGCCATTTTTGGAAGTTCTCTGTCAATATACTGCTGTAGCCGTTTTTGAATTATCTTCAGTAAGATTTTACTTGCATGTGACATTAATGATAACTGTTCGATAATTTCCACATTCTGTGGGATCACCTTTCTTTGGAATGGGTACAAATATGGATATTTTCCAGTCAGTTGGGTAGGTAGTTGTCTTTGAAATCTCCTAGCATAGCCCAGTGAGTGCCTCTAGTGCGGCATCTGTTTGTTGAAACATCTCAATGGGTATCCCGTCAATTCCTGGAGCCTTGTTTTTCACCACTGCCCTCAGTGCAGCTTCAACTTCTTCCTTAAGTACCATTGGTTCTTGATCATATGCCACCTCCCAAAATGGATGAACATCAATTCCTTGTGGTACAGTGACTCTGTGTATTCCTTCCATCTTCTTTTGATGTTTCCTGCATCATTCAATATATTGCCCATACAATCTTTCAGTATTGCAATTTGAGGCTTAAATTTCTTCTTCAGTTCTTTCAGCTTGAGAAATGCCGAGTGTGTTCTTCCCTTTTGGCTTTCCAACTCCATGTCTTTGCACATTTCATTATAATAATTGACTTTGTCTTCTCAAGCTGCTCTTTGAAATCTTCTGTTTAGCTCTTTTATCTGTCATTTTTTTTTCCATTTGCTTTAGCTACTCTCCACTCAAGGGCAAATTTCAGTCTTTTCTGACACCCATTTTGGTCTTCTTTTCCTTTCCCGTCTTTTTAGTGACCTTTGCTTTCTTCGTGGATGATGTTCTTGACGTCTGGTTTTTGGTCATTGGTGTTGAATGTATCGAATTTATTCTTTAGATGGTCTCTAAATTCAGAAGGGATATAATCAAGGTCATATTTTGGCTCTCGTGGACTTATTTTAATTGTCTTCAACTTCACCTTGATCTTGCAAATGAGCAGTTGATGGTCTGTTCCACAATCAGCTCCTGGCCTTATTTTGGCTGAAGATACTGAGCTTTTCCATTGCCTCTCACCACAGATGTGGTCAGTCTGATTCCTGTGTACTCCATCTGGCAAAGTCCACGTGTATAGCCACCATTTGTGTTGCTGAAAAAAAGGTATTTGCAATGAATAAGTTGTTGGTCTTGCAAAATTCTATGATGCAATCTCCAGCATTATTTCTAGCTCTAAGGCCAAACTTTCCAACTACTGGTGATTATTCTTTGTTTTCAACTTTTGCATTCCAGTCACCAGTCACCAGTAATAATAAGCACATCTTGATTGCATGTTTGGCCAATTTCAGACTGCAGAAGTTACTAAAAACTCTTCAATTTCCTCATCTTTGGCTTTGGTGGTTGGTGCGTAAATTTGAATAGTGTAGTATTAACTGGCTTTCCTTGTAGGCATATGGATATTATCCTGTCATTGACAGCATTGTACTTCAGGATAGATCTTGAAACATTCTTTGTGATGATGAATGCCACACCATTCCCCTTCAATTTCTTATTTCCGGTATAGTAGATTGTATGGTTATGTGATTCAAAATGGCCAAAACCGGTCCATTTCAGCTCACTAATGCTTAGGATATCAATCTTTATGCATTCCATTTCAATTTGACAACTTCCAATTTTCCTAGATTCATACTTCATACGTTTCACATTCCGATTATCAATGGATGTTTGCAGCTGTTTCTTCTCATATTAAGTCATGCCACTTCAGCAAATGGAGGCCCCAAAAGCTCTACTTTATCCATGTCATTAAGGTCGGCTCTGCTCTGATGAGGCAGCTCTTTCCCAGTCATATTTTGAGTGCCTTCTGACCTGAGGGGCTCATCTTCTGGCCCTGTATCGGATAGTGTTTCAGGGCTATTCATAAAATTTTCCAGTAATATATCAGACAATGTTTTACTACTATTCATAAGGTTTTCACTGGCCAATTCTTTGAGAAGTGGATGGCCTCTTCCTTCTTGCGAATCTGTCTCAGTCTGGAAGCTCCACCAAAACTGATCCACCATGGGCATCCCTGCTGGCACAGCCTTCAGCCTCACATCAACATGCAGGCCACCACAGTGTGACAAACCGGCAGACAAGTCCGTCTCCCTTAGCTGTTCCAACCGCTCCGCTCACTTCCTGGGCTTCGCCCTACCTGTTCCTGCCAGCCCTGTCTGCCCCTGCTCCTGGTCACCTGGGTGAATGACAGAATGTCCTATATTAAACAATAGAATAATACCATTTGGAATAAAAAGGAATGAAGTATTATTGATAGATGACCCTCAAAAACACTGTGCTAAGGGAAACAAGCCAGATACAAGACCAGGTGCTGTCTGATTCCTTTTATATGAAATGTTCAGAATAGTCAAATCTATAGAGACAGAAAGGGAGCTCTGGTGGTGTAGTGCCTAAGGCACTTGACTGCTAACCAGAAGGCTGGCGGTTCAAACCCACCAGCCACTCCTCGGAAGGAAGATGGGGCAATCTACTTCCATAGTGATACTGCCTTGGAAACCCAAGGAGGGGTGCCTATGAGTCGGGTCCGACTCAACAACACACAACAACAACAACATAGAGAAAGAAAGTAAACTAGGGGTTGGTTATGGTGGGGGTGTGGAGGGGAACTGAAGAGTCACAGCTACTGGCCATGGGGTTGCTTTTAGGGAGGAATGAAAATGTTCCAAAATTGTATGTGAAATGTATATGAACTGTTGTATGGAAAATGCATGTGCTCTGTCAACTTTCCCCAAAATCACAGTTTAGAAAATAATAATAATAATAATGACAAGTAAAGACAGTGAAAAAAAAAGTTCCAAGATTCCATTGTGCTGATGGTTACACAGCTCTGAATACACTAAAAGCATGCAACTGTTTACTTTAAATAGGTGAATTGTATGATATGTGAATTTTATCTCAATAAGACTGCTAAGAATTTGTTACCAGTGGTGCCTCTGGGGAGTGGAATGGAAAAGAAGTCGGGGGAGGTTAACACTGAACTTTTCACACTCTGTATTTAATTTTTTTTTTTCAATGAACATGTTGTTTATGATTACAAATGTAATTTTAAAAATACTAATTTACTTTAAAAATCAACAAGGAAGTCAATGCCATCCCAG